CACTTCCCACTCCCTGCTAAGCAGGGATTCTCTGCCTTTCACAGTCACATAGCATTAGCTATCAGACCACATGCTGGCTATGGTTTGTGCAGTTCTGTGCAGACGGGACAAAGACAATCAACAGGTAGCTGGTAATATCCCTCTCTCTTCTTAATGGGATGATAAACACTAAGTTAGGGGTCATAAACACTGTGGTGTTATTTTTCTGCTGGGCTGGTCAGGAGGCAGGGGAACCCCTCCCTAATCAGTGTCCTGCCCAGGCCTGGCCCCGCCCCCTCAGCTCAGCATTCTGGAAGAGAGGGAGGGCTGCTCTAGTGCCCCCCCCCCCCCACCAGCTTCTAATCTGAGCCACCGCAGGCATGAGCCTTCACATCTGGGATGTCTGTGAAGTTACAAACTGGTTTAGCTTAGCCAGCTTAGATAACCTGCAAAGATTGAATCAATTCAGGCTCAGGCTTTTTGAATGTCTGTCCCTAGCCAAAGAGGACCAAAGACCATAGGGGCTACATAGATCAGTCTTGCAGTACAAATCCAGTGTGCCTTGCCCTCTGTTTCACTGGGGCCTTTCCTATCTTTAGAAGTGAAGGAAGTAAAAGATAGAACTTCAAGCATTGTTTGTTCTGCTTATTTTAAATCCTAGTAGATTGCCCAAGGGAGACTTTTAGATGACGTGCAGATGTTTTTTGTTTTTTTAAAAAAGCACTTTACTGGAAGAAGTAGCACGTTACTTCGACCTGGCTGCTTCTATAGATTGGGTGCTTCAGAGGGGCTTTTGGTGCTTTTATCTACAACTGATTCAATTTTTTATTAGATAAAGCACCAAATGCCCCCCTCTCCCCCCATTAAAGTGTCTGATTTATACAGACATTGAGCAAGTCGGGTTCAACTAATGCACTGCCTCTTTTGGGCATGTGTTGGGCTTGGTGTGGGAGCACACTGAGTTTAAAGTTTTTGGTTTTTTGTGGTTTTTTAAAAATGTCTGCAAGCAACCTTAGTGTATCTTAGTGGCTGTAATGTTTACAAATTAATGGTTTGCTAATAATGATTTCCCACTCTGCAGCTAGGCAACTGCTAAAGAGCCTCTTCAGTTTGGATTGAGCAATCTGGAAAAAAAAAACTTATAGTAGGGATCTACTTAAATCACATTTTTCAGGGAAAGCAGGAAATCCCCCACTTTTCCTGAAGAGCAGGAAAACACCTTTCCAGCCTGAGGAAGGGGGGTGAAAAACTTACTGGAGGTGAGCCACAACAAGTGGGGAACACATGAAAGCACAGGAAACCTTCCCCTGTAGCACAGGGGCCCCAGAGAAAGTACAGGATCTCTCTGCCAGGCTGAGTGATTGAGCCAGTCAGCATGCTGATTAGCCCAATCACTGGGCAGAGCAGGAGACCAAAAAGGTTTAGAGATAGTACATACAGCACACTGAGGCTGGCTGCTGCACTTAACATCAGGAGGAATGGGAAGACAGTCCACAGAGCAAAGTACATTTCTGCCGTGGATCATGTGAAGCCCTACCCTGAAGGCGCACTCTTCACGCAGATGGTGGCAGGTCAGGCAGTGCTGCAGTGCTTAGCCAGTCTGGGGTCACAGGGAACATGGGTATGCTTAGTGGGAGAGGGAGATGGGAGCAGGCTGTGCAGACTTGGGAGGGTTAAACTGATGGTTGGAGCTGGTGGTGGTGGGGAATCAGGAGCTGGGGGCAGGAGGGGAAATTGGGAGCCTGATGTTTGTTTTCTACGGTTGCTTATCCTACAGTAATCCCCCTTCCTGCTCCTGATCCAGTGTTGACTCCCACTGCTTCAGATTAGCCTCCTGCCCCTAGCAGGATTTTTTTTTCTTTTTTAGCAGCCACTTTTGGATGCTGAATGTACCTGCAGCTGCTGTTTGGGTGGGGTGGGGAGGATGGAAACTGGTGAGGGCAGGGGATGCTGCTGGGCTCTTGGCCAATGAGCAGCATGAGAGGGAACAGAAAAAAAATGATGCCACTAGCATGAAAAGTGCCTGTAATTGGCAGGCTGCCCAAAAATAATTGGTGGCCTGTGCAATTTAAGTAGATGTCTACTTAGATTAAATAATGGCTAAGCTCCAGCGATTCTCATCCTCCAATTTGGACATTCTGTCCTTTTGAGTCTATTCAAGTATTGTGGATTATGTTTATAATAATTTCAGGTCCTGCGTCATATAGTAGGAAGGTGACAGAGGACTGCTTAACAGCACAGGGTGTACATGCTGATTTTGAAGCGTCCTATCTGATTTGGTGGCCACTTGTATAGATTAATCTGATATCTGGTTCAGTGGATTGGACTGTTTTCACTTAAATTTCTAAGTTAACAAAACAGCCACTTATGCCTGTATTTTTGTGTTGTTTGCAAGCACTTTGATGTAAAAAATAACTGGTGCTTGCATTTTAGTGTATATAATTGCATATATGCATTCTTATGCCAACAGCCCAAAAATTGCACTGAAGTTGGTTATTAAGTATTTTTATTAAAAGTTGCACTTTTAAAATATATGAAAAAACTTTTTAAGTATCAGTAAGTTATGGTGAATGTGGATAATATTATTTTTGTGTTAGCTTACAGTATGTTGCTTTAAATGCTATAAAATTTCATAATTATAAGTGTAAAAATAGTTCTCTATATTGCCCTTTCCTTCATAATATTATTTGCTATAGAAAAATACCTGCTGTTAAAGATGATAAATATTAAAGGCTATTATGTGAAGAGTAAAATTTTGAGTTCTGAGAACCATTAGAATCATTTATGTAAGCCAAATTGATTTTACAGGGTGTTTTTTTCTTAATGTTAATTTAAATTGTTCTTATTTTTAGTATTAAAAGGGAAATTCTTCCATTGGTAAAATCACTCTGTCAGGATGTAGAATATGAAGTTCGATCCTGCATGTGTCGGCAACTGGAACATATAGCTCAAGGAATAGGGTGAGCAGAATTTGTATACTGCTACAGAATGTAAATACATACATGCATACATACATATATATTAAAGTGGTTAGTGGTAATATAAAAATGCTTTGTAACTTGAAACATGGATAGTTACAATTTAAATAATTTGATACTGAGCCTGCATAGAGATTTCTCAATGAATTGTACATAGATATTCCCCACTACAAAGCTGTTTTTGTGAATTATAGTAAAGTGAACCCATCATATAAACAAAAAGGGGTTTATTTTTTCTTGAAAAAGGACCTGATCCAAAGCCACTTCAAGTCAATGGAAAGGTTCCACTGGCATATAGTAAATGCTAAAGTACTGTAATTTGGATACAAATCCCACTTACAGTAAATTTGTATTCTGGAGGAACTCTTTAAGCTTGAAACCCTCCCCTGTTTCCTTGTGTATGACTGTAGGGCTTGAAGACTTTGTGGAACTAACATGCTAAAGCTTACAGGGCACTGTCTCAGTCTTGAATATCTGGAACGGTGGTTCTCAACCTATGTAGACTCAAGGTGACCCTCAGAAATTTACAGCTCTTAACTTTTTCACTCATTTTTTGACAATGGAAAAATAATAGAGCAATTTTTCTATTGCAAAGAACTCACAAGAGGCTGCAACAAGTCAGAATGTTTTTAACGCTCTGGATTCTTGTTTGCAATGTCTGGGTTTGTCTTGTAAATCATGCAGGTGTTTGCACACCTAACAGTGCTAATATTGAGCAGCACTCTGCATCATCTTAAAAAGTATCTTGTGCCTCTGTGATTGAGAATCACTGGTCTGGGAAACTAGTATTCTTGACATTCCTGAGATGGAGATCTTAATACTGATGGCAGTGGCAACCCCTGGAGTAACTTCCCTGCTGCATTTCCAGCGTATTTGCAGAGTGGGTGTTAGGGCCTGTGAAAAAGTAAAGTGAAGTAAAATAAGTGTTGTAACTATAGAACTAAGTATGAAACCTTCACTTCACACTCTTTGTTGATAAGTTTTGTTAAACTTCATTTTTACCATAAGTATTTTTGCTTTTAAGCAAATGATTTAATGATTGCATAGAAAATGTAGGAATTAATAAAAATGGGTGGTCACATAATCTTCTGGAAGCAGTAAGCCTGTATAAACTATTATTTGCTTTTTCTAATTCCCATTTCTTTAAAGCATTTTTCAAGCTAAGCGTATCATTTTGCCACCAAAACAAGAAACCGCAAACACACAGTTTGAAAATGTCTCTTTTGCTCCAGCTATTTTTCCTGTTCTGAATTACCTGTTTTCCTTTTGTCTGCTATTCTAACTTCCTGCGTCTTTATTTGAAATCTTTTTTCCCCATCTGTATCCCAGGTCATATATTCATTTATTTCTTGATCCACTTTGTTCCTTATATTCCATTTCTTCTCTCTCGCTTGAAATGCACCTCTGCATTCCCATTGTTTTCTACAACTTTATTTACCAAGTCTCTTGACGGATTTACCATTCAAAATAAGCTACAACACTACTGTAAAGTATTATTTTGTTGGGGGTGGAAGTCCAGCAATATCATTTAGTGATATGAGTAACACTTTGAATTTGTGGTGTTACTATATAGTGAAGGTGTTACCTGTGAACATGTGACAGGAAATCTGCTTTTTATATTTTAAAATGTGTGACACCACAAGTAGCTGCCTCCATACTCTATTTTATGCTGCTTTTCCATGCATTAACCATAAGAGCAGGCACAAAAATCAGAGTTGCTGATGCCTGACTGAGAGGGGCTCAAGGTAGTTAGTGTGAAGATGCCAGGGGAAGGTATTTGGATGCGTCAAATCCAAGGTAGTTATGTCAGAATGGATGGACATTTATTTTCCCACTTTTTCAGTTTATGCAGTTCAAGGCTGGTGAATGAAGTATGGCTGAGGAGAAAGGAATCCATTTTTACTTGATGACTTAGTGCAGGTGTTTTGGGGCTATTAAATCATACTCCAGAAAAAAATGAATTAATTCACCCTGTTGGATGATACTACCTTTAGCCTAAGCAAAACTAGACACATTATAAAAAGGATATTGATTTTTTTTTCAGAAAGGGTTGCATATTGTGCAAAGACAATTGACTAGGGAGAATAAAACCATGAGCAGCCTTCAGAAAGGTGATTTAACAGAGAAAACTGTACAATAGTTGATATTGACAACTTTATCTGTTTCATTGTGGAATAAAGCAAGTGAACAACAAGAAACATCCATGTTTTTATGCAAATATTGCAACCGGGCACAACAGCATTAATTTCTTACGTTTCTCTGCCATTTAGTGATACCCATTTCATAATTACAAACAGTATTTCCTGGTCATCTTATAGAAATGATTAGCTGGTTATTATCACTTAATCAGACTGGTAATGAAATATTTCTTGGTTTGTTGCTATGAATTGTTTCAATAAGCTGTAGTAGCTGGATTCATGTTACTTTGCATGTACTTATTTCTGAACATTTTGAAACAATAATTTGCATTGATGTGCAAATGGGCAACTATTTTCAGTTTAGTTAATGTAGTGAAAAAGTCTTTTTTTTTTTTTTGGCTCCTTTTAATAAGGCTACTGTATGATGTTTTGTTTTTCTCTGGCACTTACAATACTTATTTATTTTACTTTCAAGTCTAAAAACTGCCTTTACGCAAAAATAATAGCTAAGCATCCTTATATAATTTTGGTTTTGTCCTATTGGCTAGCACTCACATGGTTTGATACTGAATTATAACATGGTATTTGCCTGAAGTTACCTCCCTTTTTGTGTGGCATAAATGTAAAAAGCTGAATCCCTATTTGGCATAAACTTGTTCATCTTCTGTGTCACTCCATATCAGCCAAAGATCAGACCAAAATCTTTCCCAAAGGAGCAAAAAGAGGATTAAGTTCAGGTCGTGTTAAGTTCAACCCTCTTAATTATTATAAAAAGCCAAAATACAGGAGTTTTAATATCTGGAAGAAGCAAGCATGACATGGAAGGAAGGCGGAACACTGACTCTCTTCCACTCCCTCCAGGTATTAATATAATTTCAAGAGACGTTTTTGCTCTCATATAGACAGGGGCAAGATATGCCCTGAAAAAATACCAAATAATCGTTACTGACAACACTTCTACCTGGAGATATACATTTCATTTGGTTGTTCAGGGAAATGGATTTCTCCCTCTTCCTCTTCCTCAGACCAACCCAACTTTGTATACAGGTGCTTCCATACCAAGAATATATCTTTCCCCTTCAGTCTCCAAAGTAATGAAAGATTCATAGTAGATATGCAGTAAATGCAGTAGGTATTTAGATTCATTTTGCTAGGATTACCTTCAACAGGTAGTGGGAAGAAGAATCTTTTTCCTCACTTCTTAGAACTGGCTTTGAAAAAAATAAACTTAGTATTGGGCCAGAAAGTCAGTTTGTTCTTCCCTATGGATAATGCTAGCTTGCAGCACAAGCTCCTCTATGACCTTCAGGGACAAGTCATTTCCATGTGCCTCCACCTGTCACAGCGTATGTTTTTGTTTAGGCAAATACAGAAGCAGAACTCCAACACTGAAATAATACACAGGAATTGCATGAGATTGTAGTTGTTACATATTTACAACGGAAAGAATATACATCAATTCTTATAACACTATACTGATAAATTTCTATATGTTAATATTCATATTTATTCTAGCTAGAGACACTGGCTTACTAGCTGAGGAAAGTGTCTGTACGTGTGTGTGTGTGTATACATATATACACAAGTATGTAGATATAGAAATCTATTAGCTGGAACTGCCCACACTTCTTTATAATATAAGAAATAATGCATATCTAGATTGTTTGGTCTATTTATTATGCCTGCAATAATGTCTTGGTCCCTTTGTTTTCTTTGATACATTCTTGCCTTAAAATTAACTTTATTCACTAAAGCTTTCACTTCCCCAACCATTTTTTATACCCAGCTCCATTTCTCCTTATTTGGTTCCTCAAACTAGGGGTGCATCAATAAAGATTTTCTTGGCTGATACTGATGGCTGATAATTAACCAGCCATATTGGCCAATACCGATCTGATAGCTGATTTACAGGAGCGCAGGATGGCAGCTAGGAGAGCAGCATCCAGCCAGTAAATCTGTAAGGTTGAAGGAGTGTAGGGGAGGGAAGGGGTGTGGTGGGGGACGCAGATTGAGGCCCATGGTGAGGGAGGGAGTGGGGCAGGGGCAGGCGTTGTCCAGCAAGGGTGGAGAATGCGACCCTGGGAGCAGGGTGGAACTGTGGGCGGCTCATCCAGGGGGTGGGCATGAGGCAGGGGCTCCTTGCTGCTGCACACATCCCTGGGAGAAGCATGGGGGCATGTACCTCCTGGATTTGTTCATGGGGTAGAGGTGGGCTGCACCAGCCTCTTTGTGGTGGGGGGGTTGGCCCGGGGCTGTGCTTGGGGTGGGTGGTGGCAGCGCTGGGAGTGGAATCTATGGCAAATTTTGGGTTGGCTATAGCCCACTCTGTAGGCCCATCCCTGGCCCATCTCCCACTGGGAAGAGGCTAGCACAGCCCCTGGCTCTGAGCCCTCAGTGGGCAGCCTGCTCTCACCCCATGCACAGATCTGGGGGGGCACATGCCCCCATGCTTCCACTGGGGTTACGCATAGCAGTGGGGAGCTGCACCCCACTCTGTACCCCCTGGACGAGCCACCCATGGCTACATCCTGCTCCTGATGGGGTCACATTCACTGCCCTGGCTGGGCAGTGCCTGCCCCTGCCCCGCTTCTGCCCCACTCCCTTCCTCACCATGG